TGGTGTGCCAGGGCAGGGGGTAGGGGGCAGGGGGCCGATCAGCTGGTACCAGGAAGGGCTGAGTGCAGGCTGCCTGCTGGGCTGCCTCCTGGGGGAGCCCTGATGCTCGGTTGTCTGTGGCTTCGAAACAGGTGGGGGAACTGCCGGCCACGGAGAGGTGACTTTTCCGAGTCACCCCTGGTAACAGTAGCTGTGTAATCTCTCTTGGGCACCTAGTTAACGTGGCACGGTTCTAAGAGCGTCCCACGCTTAATTCCCTGAGTCGTACGTACGATGAGGGAGGCGGAGGCCGATGGGGCTCTTGAGGACCACAGGCTACGCAGCCAGGCCGTCTGGCCCCGGAGTCCCCACAAGTGCCACTTTTCTCAGAGTCCCCCGACCGTACCCCACCTGACAGAAACTCAGGATACGCACCCGGAACAAAAGGATCACGAGACGATAGTTGGGTTTACTTGAGGGGAGGCTGGTGTGCGTTTTCTATCCTGTTCTGATAAAACACTGTGCTGGCCATGACCTTGTGAATTTCACAACCCTCTTAGGGGCCAGGCCTGCAGTTGGAGGTTTCCTGGAGGCCTCTGGTCTTCACCTCCACCTGCATCATCTTTGCGTTGGTCCGACCGTCACACCCACGGTGGGAGACAGTGTCCTCATTGTCCTGGCTTTATGGATGTGGTGACATAATCAAGCGGCCAGCTCGCTCGTCCACATCTAGGGCACAGTTAAGGCTGGGGTCTGGAGTGGGACTGTGTTTCTCCAGCCAGGGGGCAGCATGGCCAGGCCCAGCTTCGGGCCTCCCATCTCTGCCCTGGCCCATCAACGCAGCCCGGACATTCCTGGGGCCGGGGGAGCCTACGAAGGTAGGCTGGCACCCGTGTCCCGTCACAGCCCCGTGGGCGTGGCTGTTTGTTTTGACTGAGAGGGTGGAAGCCGAGAAAGGCTCCTGGGGCCAAAGATTCCCCCCCTCCACATGCGCGCAGACGGTGTTGGAAGTCCTTATATATAGCCTTGCCCACCCTGGGCGGACAGCAGGGGGCAGTGTGGCTGCGTGGGCAGCAGTTGCCAGGGTGGGTGGGGAGGCGGGCGATGGTGGGGGACGCTTGGGCTTCTCCCCTGCGGACTCTGGCCTCCCCTCTTCCCTAATCCTCCGGCCAGGGGGGCTCACAGAAGGGAATTTCAGGCGGCTGTGTCTGCGCCGGCCGCAGGGCCTCACAGGTTCTCATCCAGGGACAGGAAGAACCCCGCCACGATGGGGATCTGGGTGACTCTTTGTCTTAACTGTCAGTGGTTTCCACTGCCCACAAGAGGAAGGCCAGACGCCTTCCTTGTGTGCCCTCCACAGGCTGGCTCCAGCTTGCCTTTTCTGGGAGCCGTTTCCCATGATGTTCAATTAGCTAATTAGGGCAAAGTGCTTAGCATGGTTTCTGGCACACGGGGAGCACTCGGTAAGCATTTGCTGCCGCTGTTATTACTGTTGTTATTAAATCCTTCCGCACATCCTGTATTCTGTCCTCCACACCTCTGCCCCTGCCAGCCCTTCAGCCTGGAGCACCACCTTCCTCTCTGTCTATTCCTGAAGCGCCTCTATTCGTCACCGCCGGGTAGCCCCGCTGCCTCTTCCTCTGGGAAGCCGCTCCCCTCGGTGCTCCCACGGCCGCCTGTAGCCATCTCTGGTCTGTGTTGTGTCCTAACGGTGACCTCCCCCGCTAAACTGTGAGCATAACGAGCTTTTATTTGTCATCTGCCATGTGCCGGACGCTGTGTTTGGGGCTGGGGACCCAGAGCTGAGCCCGATGGTGGGCTGGTCCTGAGGGTGTTCTTTCTGGGCAAGCGCAGAGGGTGCGATCCTGCAGGAAGCTTCGCCTCAACCTCGTGCCGGGGTCGGGGAGGGAGAGGTTGCTTTGGAACTGAGCTTTGAAGGATGAGCAGAATCTGCCAGGCAGAAGAGAGGGGGAAGGGCATTCCGGGCAGCAGGCACAGCGGGTGCAATGGCCCTGGGGTGTGTTGGTGGGCGGGGGGGGTTGGTGAGAGTCATGGCTCGGTTGGGGAATTGCTGTGGTTCTCCTGAGAATGTCGCACTGAGTCGAAATACTGACTGAACTCTAATTCCTGGTTCCCTTCTCTTTTCCCAGGTCTCTGGCCATCCGAGTGTCTTGCCGGAGCCCCCCGGGGGGGCCTGAGCCCCAGGACAAGGGCCCAGACGGCCTGTCATTCCTTGGGGACAGCTGGTCTGGGGCCGTGGTGCGGAGGGTGCTCTCTGGGCCAGGGTCTGCCAGGGGGGAGCCGAGAGAGGTGAGACCCCCGTCCCTCTGAGTTGGGGGTGGAGCCAATGCATTAGCTGGGGCTGGATGCTCTCTGATTGGCGGGTCTAGGTCACTGGGCGGAGTTTCTGGGGGTTGACCCAAAGCAGAGGCAGGCTCAGAGATGACACCCAGGTCGGCCTGCCTCAGCCAGCAGTAAATTAAATCTGACTGGGCAAGGGGCTGGACAGATCCCCACCCTTAAGCATGGAAAAGAACAGACACCCTGGGTGAGGACGATGCCTGTTGATGGGGGAAGGATCTGATTGGCTAGGTGCCCTGTGAGGTGGGGTATGTGAATTACCGGGATATGTCACCACCACCCCAGTCTCCCTTTAGCCCCAGGGCTGCGGTGGCCTGGGAAGCTCACTTCCTTCCTTCCCTGCCTGCCTGGGTTTCTCTCCCAGCCAAGGGCAGAGGCTGCTGGCCTGGAGGGGGCAGGCCTGGAAGGTGAGGCCCAGCAGAGAACCCTGCTCTGGAGCCAGGCGTCCACACTCCCCTTCCTGATGGACTTCAAGGGTAAGTCTGGCCGAGGGCCGAGGAACTGGGGACTTCCGGGTCCCAGAAGGTCAGAGCTGAGAGCCCACAAGAGGGCTTGTCCAGCCCGTGGTGCGGGTGGGGCAACCGAGGCCTGGCTGCGGCCTGGCTGTCAGCAGTGCCCTTCCCTCGCCCACTGTTCGCCCTTGCTGGCTGTCCTTTGTCTCCTCCGTAAGGAGCTTACCATGACAGGAGTCCAGAGACCCGGGTTCAAGGCCTGGTTCTGTTCCTAGTGGGCTTGGTAGCCTCGGGCAGGTCCCTGTCCTCTCTGGGCCTCAGACTCTCACTTTAAGAGGGGGGAGGTAGGGTTCTGGCAGCTCAGGCCTTGAAAGGGGAGTGATGGAGCCTGAGGCCGATCCCTGACTTACTTAATCCTCCTCTTGCCCTCCCTCCTGCCCCCGCCCTGCCCACATCCAGCCTGTCAGTCCTTCCACGAGGCCCTAGATGCCTGGACAAAGGGGCTGAGCACTGAGCCCTTCTATATTCGAGCCAACCTCACCCTGCCCGAGCGTGCAGACCCTCATGCCCTGTGTGTGAAAGCCCAGGAGATCCTGCGGCTGGTGGACCCGGCATACAAGCGGCGGCAGGAGTGGTTCTGCACACGGGTCGACCCCCTTACGCTGCGGGACCTGGACCGGGGCACTGTGCCCAATTACCAGAGGTGACGCAGAACCGGGAGCCTGGGTCCCGCAGGGAGCCAGGACCAGGATAGGAGGCTTTTCCCCTCCCCCTGCAGTCCCTCACTATGCTCCGGGACAGGATAAGGGGGCTGGAGGAGAGGAGGTGAGGGGCTCCCTTTCTCCCTACAGATGCACCATGTGACCCCACCCCACCCCCATCCCTACCCCGCAGAGCCCAGCAGCTCCTAGAAGTTCAGGAGAAAGGGCTGCTCTCCAGCCGGCACCGAGGGCCCCGAAGTAATGTAAGCAATGCTGGGCAGGCTGGCAAGGGTCCGGGGAGAGGGCCTGCCAAGGGTGGGGTCCAAAGGGGGAGAGGCCAGGTTCCGTTGTCTGACAGGCCCTGGGGGAGGAGAGGAGGGAGGCTCGCATCCCGCTCCTTCACCCGGACACGGTTGATCATCTCCTACGTGCCCAGCATACAGGACAACGGCAGGGCTCACGGTCCAGGGTAGTTGAGAGGATTAAACGAGGCAGCTCAGGAGCAGGCCTGGCCACGGCCAGCACTTGACAGAATGGCAGTCACACCCCCTTTTCCAATCCCTGGGTAGGGGCTGGGCCGGGTGAGCCTCCCCCGGCCGCCCTACACACGGGCAAAGTGAGGCTCAGAGAAGTGAAATCACTCAGAAGGCCAGAGGGGCTGAGAACTTGGGCTCTGGAGCCAGACTGCCTGGGGTGGAATCCCAGCTCTGCCACGAGCCAGCCAGCCCGCCGCGCCGCCTTGGACAAGCACCTGACCCTCCCTTGAGGCTCTGTTTCCTCATCTGTAAAACTGGGGAAGTTACGTTGCCTGCCTCGTGGGTAGAAGGCTTCAGTGAGTTCGTGACATCTGGGGCTCAGTGTCTGTCACGTTCCCTGCTGGCCGCTGGTGTCATCGGTGCTGTCATTTGTCGGTGCTGTTTTTTT